TATATATATATATATATATATATATATATATATATAACATATATGTATGAACAATATTCTGCCTGTTTCAGTTGTTTGTGACTAGTTGTTAGCTATGTTGCTGTCAATCTGCACAAATACTTCTGAACTAAATGGTCTGATTCAATAAGGCAACATTATGTGCCAAAATCAGCCCTCCTTAACTTCTATAACCTCCAGCTGGCAGAATTAATAAGCAATTATAACAGTTGTAGTACCAACATATTTGGAGGCACTAGGATGTGTTGGGAGTAGATCAGGAGTTGGAAGCTGAATTCTCCAGAGGGGAGGGAAGATATATCTCTTCAAGGTCAGCCAGATTATCACGTTATGGCACAATAGTGGGATATAAACAGCTTTAAAAAATTTATCAGCAAATAGTTATGTATTATGTACAAAATGGTGTCCATATCAGAAAGAATGTTTCCAGAAAAGATTGAGTCTGATCATTATTTTTCTAAAAATTTAATGTTGGGTGATATAGATTGAAAATGTTCCAAATGAATCATTTGAGCTTGAAAAAAGGAGACTTGAAATAATTTCAATAATCTGAATGTGTATAGAATCAATTATGTGCACAATCAAATCAGTACTACTAAACTATTGTGAGCAGTCCTATAGAAACCAGAGCAACAGAGACATTTAAAAAATAAATGAATGCATGTATTTGGAACTGGAGAACAATGTTACCTGTGGGCTTTAGAACTTGCATTTAATAATTTAATTACTCATTATTAAATTTATATTATTTTAGAAGTTTCCTTTTGCTGCAGAAAATGATCAGTGTGCTTCCAAATTTATTAATTAACTTGCTTAATGTATGGCCCACTTTTCCACTAAGAACACAATATAGTATTTGTGATAATACTCCAGTATTTTTCCATAATAATGATTCTGCAATGTAAATTGGCTAAAAGATCAAGATTAGCCCAAGGCAACTGGTCAGATTCCTCAACTGATTGTTGAGAAAGTGGTGGCCTCGCAACTCCGGCGGTCCTTGGATGAAGCCGATTATCTAGACTCCTTTCAGTC